TGACTGGAGAGGTAAACACCTGAGCACAAAAAGTGAATGGGTTGGTCACATGATGAGAATTCAGGATGACCATTGAACAGCTCACATGGGCCATTTGTAACTATATGATTTAGCCAAATAGCAAGGAAAGCCCCCCACTATCTTTGTTGATGGTGGTGAACATTTTTTTTTGATAATGGTATTCTGTGTCTATTACAAAATGAAGATAGTTTTGGAGGTCATTGCTTATTTTTTCAGAGGGGAATAAAGTCCCATATTTGTTTTCAAGAGTAGTGCAGGATATGGTCCTTTCTGAAGTTTTAATCATCACAAGGCATCAGCTTCCAACTGACCATGGCCAAGGGCCAAGGACAGAAAGTTGCTTTCATTTGGGCACGTGGACTCACAGAAAACCAGCAGTCAGGGGACTTCCTTCTAGCCATTTGCTTTGGATCCTGACCTCTGGATTTGGTGGCCCTGGTCCCATATGACAGCTTTTGGGTGAAAAAGCAGGAAACATATCTCCCTGATTATTTGTGTTCTTTCCTTAAGTACCAAGAGTCTTTGTTTTTGTTTAAATAAAAACAAAACAAAACAACTCAGACATTAGATTTTCAGTAAGAAAATGTCTAGTACCTTGAAATGATTTTATCTGCTTCCTCAGAGAGGCGACATGAGAATGGCCTTTCTTCTTTGCCTATCCAAGCCCTACATGCCCTGGAGAGCCCTTGACCAGGGCCTTTAGTCATTGCAGAATCTCTCAGATGGAAAGCAACAGAGAGGGCATCCATTCCAAGCCCTGTGTGAACAAGAATCCCAATAAAGTGTGCTTGATAAATGCCTCCCACCTTTACTTGAAGACCTCCAGTGCAGAAGGAAGCCATTACCTGCCAAGGCAGGCAAGCACAGTCCATGCCTACTTCACAGAGAGCAGAAACCAGCTACTTTGCAGCCAGAATCCAGGGCTCTTCCAACTGGACACTTAGCGTGGATTCTGTCTGTCAAAATCCAGCAAGTGCCTAATTATGTGAAAAGATGGAAGCTCTCCATAAAATCATTGAGTTAGTGCTGGAAGGGCCCTTAGAGGAGGTCACTTAGGAAGAATCACTTATTTTGTGAGGAATCTCAAGTCCTGACCCCAGGTCCCATGGAGGATAGGCCAGGGTTGAAGGGCTGTGCTGCATGGAAGGCACGCTGGGCCAACGAGGCACAAGGTCTCAGTTCAAAAACTGCCTTTTACACTTAAGAACTGTGGGACTACGGGGGAGTCACAGCCTCTCTGTGCCTCTGTTCTTTGTCTGGAAATTCAGGAAGGAAGAGGAATGGATGACCTCCGTGGCTTCCTCCACTTCTAGATAGATTTATGATCTTTTTTTTTTTCTTTGCCGACTCAAGATGACAAAACATAGCAATCCTTTTTTTGTTCCCTGGCCACAGGACCCCCGTGTGGAAGTGCAGGCCTTTTAAACGCTTGTCAAATATTTACCAGTTCTGGTTTATAATGGGTCTTATAAAGTTGTCTGTCACTCATGTTGTCTTACAGGATTTGCAGCTGCTTCTGCTAGGCCTATCCATATCATACCCCCTTCCTGCCTCGTACTTCCCTGCTCCTCTGGCCACTGCTCTGGGGGACCCTTACCCTGAGTCCTGAGCACAAAGTGAAATCTGGAAAAAAATAGGAAATGCCTGCTGCTGTCTCTCTTTCCTTCCTCCTCTCCCTCCTTTCCTCATTCCATTCCTTCCTCTTTCCTTCCCTTCTACTTTCCCTCTCTCCTTCTCTCTATCCCTCCTTTCCTCCTTCTCTCTCTCATTCCTTTCCTTTTTTCCTCCTTTCCTCTTTTCTTCTCTCCATCCCTCCTTCTCTTTCTTCCTTACCCTCTCCTTCCCTCTGTCCTCTTTCCCTTTCATTCCCTCCTTCCCCCCCCACCTCCCTGAGTACTTGGCAATTGATAATAAGTTCACCAAAAAGTAGCCCCAAATTCTGGAATTACTGGAAAATACTCATACTCAGAAATTTTTTTTACTACAACTAATTTTTTTTAAAGAAAAGAAAAAGTATGAATATTGTTTGTTTTTTTGAAACTGAGCATTGATTATCTTGGATGCGGAAGACCTCAATGAGAATTATATGTATGTCAGCCTGCAGAAAACAGTCCTTCAATATTGCTTTAGGGAGTTTCTGAAAAGTCTTTACTCAGAGATGGAATTTGCAAGAAATGCTAGGATTAAGAGCATCCTAAATTCAGCTGCAGCTACAGCTGCTATTGCTATTGCTGCTGCTGCTATTACTACTACTACTACTACTACTACTACTACTTCTACTAATACCACTATACTGATGAGGAGGGGGAAGAGGAAGAGAAGGAAGAGTAGAGGCAGTAGCTCTGATTTTGAACTCACAGTTACTTGTTTTAAGCCTAACTCAGACATTTACTTTCTGTGGGACCTGGAGAAATTCATTTGACCTTGCTCAGTCTCAGTCTCCTCAGTTGTAAAATAGGAATAATAATAGTGCCTTCCTCACAGGATTATTGTGAGAATGAAATAAGTTAGCAAATATAAAATCTTTACAGAATTTAAATCACTATAAATAAACCCAGCTCTTATCATTATGCAGGGCATGTAGGTGGCACAGTGGATAGACCTCCAGGCTTGGAGTCAAGAAAGTTCAAACTCAGCCTCAGACACTTGCTAGCTGTGTGATAGTGGGCAAATCACTTAACCCTGTTTGCCTCAGTTTCCTCATCTGTCAAGTGAGTTAGAGAAGGAAATGGCACACCGCTCTGGTATCTTTGCCAAGAAAACCCCAAATGGGCTCCTGAAGAGGCAGACACAACTGAGCAAAATTACTATTGATGATGATTTCAATTATTTCTACAACCAATTTGAAGAAGTTAACTATGCTCTTCCGTTAAACTAGCCAACGGAGCTTGGTAACAAATCTCAGCATTGACCCACACCATATCTCCAGGTGGAGCTTCAGGGACCCTGTTACAAATCAGCATGAGTCAGAGATTTACTACGCCCTTTAGAAATGTGTTTCTATCACCAGGTAAATCTAATTGTGAATCAAATGCCAAGATTGTGAGTAGATTTCAGTTTTTGTGCCAGTTTTTTTTAATGACTAGATGAATATGCCTTTAAATGAGATGGGGGTCAACAGGATAGGCTGTAGACTTCCTTCCCATTATAAGTCAACAGTGGTCTTCTCTCCAATATTAAACACCTCTGCTTGGCCAATCGCGGTGATCTTGTGGGAGTCTGCCATAACTGCTTTCCAGGGATGGTTTTTGTTATTCTCAGCTCTAAAGAAGAGTCATTTGTGCTGGCCTCTCCCTTGCTGCCAAACTGGAACTATCACAAGCAGAAGCGTTTGACTCGTAGGGGTTCAGAATAATGGAGAGACAGAAAGACACACAGAGAAATACACCAAGACAGAGAGATGGAGATGCAGGAAAAGAGAGAGAGATTGAGAGAAACAGAGCTGTAGACAGAGATACAGAGGGACACACACAGATGTAGACACGGAAGAATAAGAGGGTGTAGATATCCCCTCATCCCATGCCACAGCCCCCTTTTCAGAAGTGTAGGGGAAGTGGACGGATCAGTGTGGACTTCCATTCATTATGGTTGCTAAGCTGAGGCCTCAATGGGACTGGCTTTTCCCTAAGATTACTTCCTGCCAGGTTTTGGTGAACTCTTCATTCTTTTGGTCTTTGAAGTGGGATCGGAGGTTTGGAGTTGGATAAAAGCTGCCCCCACTCCACCTTGTTCTTCTGTTCATTCTTAAAGCCGTGCCTTCATAGCAGTTTCCCGTTCCCTCTCAGTCTTGGTTCATGGGAACCACCCTCAGTTCACGGGAAAGTCAGGGGACCCCAAAAGTATTGAGCCCATCCCAACCAGGCCACATGCATCACTTGCCCAGAGATTTCATAGCTGCCTTTCATAAAAGAAGGAATGTGGCTCTGGGCAAGTTGACCGTTGGAGACACCATTGTTTGATTTGTCGGGTGACTCCAGGCCCGCTTCTATGGGCAGAGACACTCAAGAAGGGACTCAGGTCTGTTCCTCTCATCAAAAAGTTGTAAGAAAAGATGTTTTCAGGAGAAGCTAGTTATTCTCATCAAATGAGATCATAAACTCCTGCCTGAACTCATTATCATCGAGACCTTGGCATGATCCAGAGCACCCCATTATTTTCCCACTAGCCAACCCCCAAACGCTGGGTTGCTGATTGTTTGCAGAAAGCAGCTAATCAGAGAACAGCATTAAAAGAAGGAAAATAAAACAACTCATGCCTGCAGGAAATTACACAGATTGCAACAGTGCCGGGGGAAAACAAAAATGTATATTCAAACTAGCAAACCCCAGCACTGTGGGGCCGGCTTTCTTCCTGAGGATGGTGAGGGATTGTACTCATGCTCTGGTTGCAGGCAAGTCATGTGCCCGCAGTCATCTTTACTTGGATCTTGGGCAAGGGTGAAGCCACCTGGCCTCCTGGGCCTCTCCCACATAACAGGAGGCCCAGGGGCAGAGAGCATCACTCTGGGCTGTTTGACTCTGGACACTGAGAATTACGTATCAGTTCTAAGCAGTCACTCATCCTCCCCCATTCTCTCCAGAAGGCAAAGAATGAGAACAGTTCTTCAGAGATCAGACTTGGGGCTTAAAGAAACATGACGGCCAAGATGAGTGAACAATGGAGGCAAGAAGGACATCTTAGTTCCCTGAGATCTTTCATTGGGGTTCCCTTGGATGGGGACACACAGGCTGTCATGCTTGTTCTCATTCATTCTGGTTTCTGAACCAAATCATGGGATTTCCCATGGATCAGTTCTCTTTCCTGAAGTGAGAGGGCAAGAGCCCGCCTGTGCTTCTTACGGTGACTCCAGGGGATTGTACTGCCAAGTGTGGATGCCTGAGCTTTCCCAGAAGTTTTAAATTAATCCTTTTTTTTTTTTTTGCCTGATACAAACCTCTCCTTACTGTATACTATAATATTTCTCTCTCTTTTTATTCCAGGCCTTCTGCCTTATCAAGTAGCCCAACATATTCTGACCTGCCCTTCATTAGAATCTCCCCACACAGAAACCCGGCAGGCACTTCTGAGTCGCCCTTCAGCCCCCCGCATCCGTACATCAACCCTTACATGGACTACATCCGCTCCTTGCACAGCAGCCCTTCTCTGTCTATGATCTCGGCGGCCCGTGGCCTCAGCCCCACTGATGGTGAGTCTGTGACCAGCAAGGCTATCATTGTGTGGTCTCTTCTCACTGGACTGCAAGCTTTTATGGTCATCTCCCCCATTAGAATGGAAGCTCCTTGAAGGCAAGGACTATCTTTTTGGCTTGTGTTTGTATCCCCAGTGCTTGGCATAGTGTCTGACTCTAGCAAGCGCTTTGTAAGTAAATGTTCTTCCTTCCTCCTTCCCTCACTTCCTCCTTCCCTAACTTCCTCCTTCCCTTATTTCCTCCCTTCTCTCTATCCCTTTCCTTCTCTCCCTCCCTCTTTCTCTCCTTTCTCACATACCTTTGCATTTGGCATAAGAAGTGTGATGAGTCATTTGAGGATGGCTGTACTCAGACTGGAGGTCAGGGGCTTGTTTTTGTTTTTTTTTCTTTTTCCCCTTCTCTGAAGCCTTGCATATTTGGAGGATGTGTTTGTGTTTCTTTAATAGAGAATAAGACTTATTTCTTAAAAAAATAGAAATTTGTATTTCCCTGCCCATCAATCAAACAGCCAATAAGCATTTATTATGCACCTACTATATGTCAAGCATGGTGCTAATTTCTCTCCTTATTCACTTCACATCAGAATAGTCAGTGTTCTTGTGGAGCAGTTAATGGAAGTGACTCCTAGAATTGTCAGGATTCTGATGGGGTACATAGCAGGTCAAGTGCTGGACCTCAGAACCAGGAGACCTGGATTCTAATCCTGTCTGTAAGGGCAAAGTACTTGGAGCTCTGTCCCCATTCTCTATTCCATTCTCCATCCAGCTTCCAAAATGATTTGCCTCAAGTGCAGGTTTATCTGTCTCTGCAATATTGACTCAACTTCAGTGACCCTAAGTATTTCTAAGTTCAAAGAGAAGCTCCTTAATTTGTCACTAAAAGCATTTCACTGGCCCCATCTCATGTTCCCAGGCCATGCACAGGTCCCATCACCTACCCCCATGCCTTCACACTGCATGTTTACTGTTCCTAGAAAGCCCTTTCTCCTCACCTACACCCAGGCAGTAGATTGGAGAACTAGAACCTGAAAACTGGAATCCTTCAAATCCAAGTGCCACTCCCCTCCATGAGACCTTCCTCCCTCCTTCCTTCCTTCCCTCCCTCCCTCCCTACTTCTTTCCCT